TAAAAATACAAATTAAAAAAGTCTTTTTAATATCAAAACAACTTGTTTTTCCCTAACCTCTTAATACTAAATGCTAAATGTCATGTTTTTCCACAAGCTCTCAATACTAATAATCAAAGCCAATAAAGTCCTTTTGAATGGTTTTGCATCAAGGACAAATCCTTAATACGTAGCTATTAGTAATGGAAGGAGATAAATCCATGCAACATTTATGGTGAGATGTTACAAAGAAAAACAAGAAAAAGGTTGTTAAATTGAAAAGTAGTGAGTGGTCCTATTCGGATTGGGATGCAATGAATGTGAAATTTACGCGTGCACCGAAATGATGGTGCTGAGCTGAAGTTCTGGGTTTAGTCAGGTCTTAGTCAAGCAGAGGCCAGAACCAGAATGAGACACTCGCCGAATTCCCAAGTCCACCACTTATTATATCTAGGGGCAAATTTTTACAAGATATGGCAGCCTTGAAGATTTCAAACCGCAGGCCGTCCCACTGTTCTTGTAAGAACTTTTCAAAACAGACAGCTGCACATGCACAGGAAAAAAATTTATTTTTAATCTCTTATCTTATTTTATTTATTTTTCTTTTTATAAGGACAATGATTAGCTAGAGATTAGTATGTTAGGAATGTTAGTAGAAGTATTAAACCTGAAATTTGAGAGTGCAAACCACGGGCTGCTTTTTGGGGCAGCAAGTGACCACTGGTCACGGTACGGGAAATGCAACCCCTCATCTTATTAAATGTGAAAGTTTTAATTCTTTATTTTATATTATAATACTTTTAACTTCTCACCTTATTAAATTTATAGGTCTTAGCCCCTCACTTATTAAAATAAAAAAAAAATAATCCTTATTTTATATTGATTGTTAACTTTGTTAGTTGACAATTGTTAGTTAAAAGTAAGTTTTATCAACTAACAGTTAACTAATAGTCAGTTAACAAAATTAATAAAATATTATAAAGTTAGTTCTGTTAATTATATTAGTTGAAAGAAAATTTTATCAGTTAACACTCAGTTAATAGAATTAACAATCAACTAATAGAACTAATAAAATGTTACCAAGTGAGGACAATTTTCTTTAATTTTAATGAGTGAGGAGTTAAAAATATCATAATATAAAGTGAGAGATTAAATTTACAAATTTAGTAAGGTGAGGAGTTAAAAGCGTTATAATATAATATTAGAGGTTAAAACCTTTAAACTTAATAAAATAAGAGATTAAAAATAATTTTTTGTCCAAATGCACACCCCTGTTTTCTTAAAAAAAACTAGCATTAAAAAAAAACTATTATTTCAAAATCCAAATTTTGAATTAATTATCTCATATTTCAGTTTAGTATAGTTATGAATTGAATTTGTAGTTTTGATTTTTAAAAATTTTTAAATTTTAGAATAAGATTAAGAATTTTTGTAAATCGGTTAAACTATTAATTTGTTCCTCAACTTTTAAATTTGTATCAAAATTATTCTTAAATTTTAAAAAATACCAAAATTCTCGCAAAATTTTAATTTTTTGTATCGAAATAATTCATAAACTTTAATTTAGTACCAACTTAATTCTTGAACTTTGAAGACAAATACCCACTTAGTTCTTTATTTTTGATTAAAATACAAATTTGGTCATTCAACTTTGATTACATGTTAATCTGATATATAAATGAAAATATACTATAATAATAAAATATGACTGTTTGATTTTATATGTCCTTAACATAAAAAAAAAAAGGGAGTTAATTTTGCGGCAAAATAATGAGTCATGTGGCGCTTTCATTAACAAAAGGACTTTTCATACCAAAAATTAAAATTCATGGATAATTTTAATACTTTTTTAAGTTTAAGGATAATTTCGATACAAATCTAATAGTTGACAGACTAAATTAGTATTTTAACCATTAATTAAGTTTAAAGTTTTAAGAATTTGTGTTAAAATTTTATATTTAATAATTTGGCATTTTTAATTTTTAATTTTAGTTTTTAATTTTTAATTTTAATTGTTTAAATTTTAAAAATTAAAACCAAAAACTACAACTATGTAAAAACTACAATTACAACTATACTAAATAGAACCTTAGTTTCATATCCAAAAAAAAATAGAACCTTAGTTTATAATCAACAAATTGAGTTTTTTTCATTTTGAGGTTCTAGTTCCACCGGCCGAGAAGACAATTTAGGAATGACTGATCTAGTGATAATATAGTTAAAAGCACCTTCTTTATACACCAAAAAGAGAGAGAGAGAGAGAGAGAGAGTGAAAAAGAAGATTATCTTAGTGTTTATATCATAAATAACAAATTTATGAACCACGCAAATCTCCATTGTTCGACTTCTGCTGAGACATCTGATATCATTGCAGAAATTGTTATTTATGGTGTAAACACTAAAACTATATGATTTGTGATTAAACTTCCATTCCATATACACTCACTGATCATATAGGCTATAGCACAAGGGGAAAAGGCAACTAATTCTAGTTGTAGCTAAAACCAGCAAAGTTCTTTCCAATCTCAACAGAAGGGCCAAGGTACGATGCACCAGTAACAACCAGGTCATCCGGTAGATCTCTTTCCTCGAGTATGGCATAACCTGACCCCAGAAACATACAAGAAAACAAATGAGTACTAAATCAAAAAATTAATAGGACATAACATACAAATAAAGTTGGATAATCACCAGGAAGTGAAGGAATTGGGAAATCCATGAAGTAAGTGGAAGGCCGCCCAAACTCTTCAGAATACGGTGGAGACAACACATCCAAGATGGCAGAGGGAGTCAAGGCAGTGAAGGAATGGATGTTTCCACCACTCCTTGGAAAAAGAACGGATGGCTCGCATGGCGCTTTGAAGATCCCATTAGTCACAGCGCCTGCAATTCCACCTGCCCCTACCATCTTTGTTTAGTATCCTCATAATATATGTATCCCACCATCTATATTGATTATTATTTGTTCAAGGAAACAAAGATCAAGTCATCATCTTACTTGTTCGGCAACCAGATTTCTTCTCCATGATCCAATCGTAGGCTTTGATATGGACCGAACCATAAAGAAGTTTACTCAGAACCGTCATCCCAGGATGATCATGAAGGGGAAATGTCCTCCCTGCTGGGAAGCAAAAGATGCCTATCTGCTTGTGCAACAAGAAACATGTCAGCTGCTTAACTTCCCAAATAGAGTCTCGTTGAATATAAAGATGTTTCTAACTCTGCTCACCGAGAAATTGTTACATTCATGAATGTGAATGTAAGTTATTTCAGACAACCCCTTTCCGCAAATCAAATTTGGAGATCCATGCAAGTTAAATTCATCTATGCCAACATCAGCTGCTTCAACTTTATCTGTACTAACGAAAATTCCTCCATTTACTCTACAATTCAGTTACATAACATATAAAACCAAACTAGTAGAGATTAACATAACTGATATTCTTACCTAAGTGGTTTTTCACGCATTGAATCTGTTGGATAGTCGGACGCTCCTGGGAAAACACAGCATTGCAAGTCTCATACAGCGTCTGGATTCTGCTCTTCTCCATCGGACGGTGGTAGAATTTTGTGACCATTTCAAAGTTTATATATATTGGAAAGTGGCTCAAGTTATGGCAATAATTCCTGGGGGCATAATTGGTTCTCTTGACTTTGTTTTAGCCCTTTACAATGGGCTTCCCTTGTATAGTTTCTCATTGACTCAGTTTATCAAGCAGTGTGTGTACACGAAGGAACACGTGAGTCCTACGAGTATGGGATTAAAGGGGCTGCAGATAATTAACACAAAGAAGACAAAGCGATGGAGATTTTACTGTACAGCGCTCCTCCTGAAACGCAATTAAAAATTGACTTCTGCCGCAAAGTCCTGCTTTGTGGCGTAAGCATGCTTTTTTCTAGAGCTAGAAGCCTAGAAAATGAAAACAAGGGCAAGTAAACTGTGTTCTATTTTCAATTTCCAGCTGAAAATAGAAATTAATTTAATCATTTGAAGTTTTCTACTTTCTTTTTTTCTTTTTTTCTTTTTTTTTGCAGTGACTTAAGAGATGGTAAAGGTTCCAAATATAGAATCTAGTGAGGTATTTTAAATTCTTAAAAATTTAAAATTTAAAATTAGAAATTTTTAATTCAAAATCTATAATGGATTGATGAGATTTATCATGTGTTAAAAAAAAAAAAAACTCCAAATATAGAATTGTCTCTTTACCTAACATAAAATCATCATACATATAACTATAAAAGTATTTACAGTATGTCCCATAAAAAAGATCCATTCTTAGTGTAAAAAGACAAAAATATTTTTAATAAATGAGGGATATTTAAAGATTTATTAATAATATTTTTATTTTTTTTTTAGCGAATAATGTTGTATTTTGTTCCAAATTAACACCAAACAAGATATTGCAAAATACCTTAAAAGTGGCCGGGAAAGTGACATGCAAATTGAAAGCGGACCAATTACTGTCGTAGACACGTTGCCTCAGTATAAGCCAGACAGGAGAGAGATGGATTCCTCGGTAACAAAAAGTCTCCTAATAATGCGTTAGTGTTTTCCTTCGATGGAAGCCACTTTTTCCACCACTAACGCAGCATGTGAATACAAATTATTCGCAACTATAATTTGTTCACATTTAATCCATAATCAAATCAAGAAAAAATGGGAAATAGAGAAGAAGCCAATAATTTAAATACCTTAATAATAATTTTTTTTTTTGTTGTAAGTAAAAAATATTAAATTTAAATGGTATGATATATGGATTAAATAAATTAAAAGAAAAGAGAATGTTGTCTCTATTATACAACTCAATATATACATATATATAAAAAAGAGAAACAAATGAAAAATATACTACCAATATAAACCTAACGGAAGAAGGATTTTAAACGAGAGAACATAGTTGGGTTGGGTTAAGAAATAAAAGATAATTGTTTTTAATTATGTAATATAAAATTATAAAAATAGAGAATTTATAGTTTTCCACCATTTAAATGAGGGAAAAACTATGAGATTAGGTTTGGATGAATGATTTTAAATGATTGAATTCAATAAGAAATTTTGAAGAAAAGAATTTCTAAATGGCCTTTTTATCAGAAAAAAATGCTTTGGTTGTATATTTCTTATGAAATCCTCCTTCCAAACACAACTTGAGTTTAGAAAAATGGAAAATGACGAAATAAGTAATAATCCCAAGTTTAGGTCAACATTGAATAGATTAGTCTTTATGGTTAATTTTCCTAGGGATGGCATCATGTTGTGACAAATTTAAGTATATCGTAATGATATGGATAACTTTTAAAATTTTATATATTAAAAATA